ACCTGTTATGTGCTCTAAAATATGTCTATGCAGAATAAATATAATCTCTCCCCTCTTGTCAGTCCTTAAAGTAATTCGTGTCCTCATGACATCTGTTAAACTTAACTTCAGTTCCAATTCAAAATATTATGACAGCCTTCTGTGTATTCCATGTCATTCATAGCTCTGAGCCCGCTGCACATTTGGTGAGCATAATGCAGTACGGGTTAAGGAGATGGGCTTTGGAGTCAGACAGGCTGAGGGTTGCATCCTTGCTCTGCTACTCACTAGTTGTGTAATCTTGAGAAGATTACCTAATCTTTTTATAATCTGTATTCTCATCTATAAAATGGAATTAAACTGTTTCTTCAAAAAGATGTTGGAGGAATATATGACAATACATGCAAAGTGCTTATAATGCAAAAATGTAAGTAGATGGTACAGTTAGCTAAAATGGAAACAATAATAATTATTTTACATTTTCAAATTATTGATTACAAACCTAGGGAGGAAAAGACCAACTGGAGCTCTGAGACAGGTCTTTCAGGTTAAAATCAATCCACTCATCAGAACTTCCTGGGTATAGTTGTTCATTTAACTATGAATCATCCTACTATTGCCTCTAGCCTGCATTTCTTGAATTTGTATGAAAAGACAGAATTCGCTCACTCACCTACCCTTCATTCAGTAACTACATGGAGCATTGTGTTTCAGTGCACTGAGTACCAACGAGATTCAGTAGAGACCAAAGAAAGATAGGGTTTCAGTGCGAGGAGAGAGGACAGACAGACTGCATTGCTTTGCTGACAGCGCTATCTATGATGTCATTGAAATTTGCCTGAGCTTTTAAGGATCTAACAACTATTTCTACAAAAGAAAATAATGTTATTTCCAAATGACTGGTTCATAATGAACACTTTTTAGCTTTTGAAAACAGGTCTCTGTTTTATAATATTTTATAGTATTTTCTGGGGATTGACATTAAGCTTGTCAATTATCATTGCTACTTTGGTAGTCCATATTCTTCACGTTGTGAAGATGAGCTTGTTTCAGCTTCTTTGGTAGCTGAGTGACCTTCAGTCACATGATCACTTCCAGAGTCCCCGTCTCTACGTGAAGATAGTGGTCCTTAGTTCATCAGAGTTGAAGGGAGGGTCGATTTCCAGTATGGATGCAAAAGAAATGTGTGAACTTTAATGGACTATACAAATGTAAGGTAATACTATTGCTACTTTTCCTGTATTTTAATCACCAGTTTTAAGCCTCTGAGGCTAAAGTGTTGTTCCAGAACTTCTTTGTCCCTTTCTCTTGAGAATTAGTGGTTGCTTCCTCTACAAATTTTCTTCTTAAGCTGTACATTCTATTTCCTCCACAGTGTTTACTATTATGTTATTATTTAAACATTTCCCTCTGTCCCTCGCATTTAAGTTGAACACAGCTGTCCCGAGCTGTGTTCCCTCTCTGTGGTGCAGAAGCCAATCCTGCTTCTGTGTGGATAGGGGCTCTCCTTCAGGGCCACGTTCAGCTGGCACCCAAAAATCAGACTTCTGCTTGCCCCCACGTCTTTCAGATTCCTCACCAGGGCCTCAGGTCAGGTGCTCCTCAGACTGTTTGGTGTGAGCATTCCTCGCTGTCCTACAGGAGAACCTTCTGTCTGGGCTCCTGAAAGATCAGGGTCTCTCTGCCCCTTCTCTGAGCAAACGTTCTTTGCCCACTCTTCTCGCCTCTGATACGTGCTAAATTGTTCATGGTTCACACATCCTTGGTATCAATTCAGCTGTCTTCATTGAACCGCAGATCCACGGAAAACTGTGAGGCCAGTATTTCAGCCCTTCTCTTGTGCTGTACTGGTTGTAGTGTTGCAGTAAGGAAAGATGGAGCAGTTCTCCCCCAGAGCCCACAATCTAGCTAGGGAGATAGTGCATACACACCAGTGTGGTAATTTACATAAAAAGGTGACCAGTTGTTGCGTCCTGAAGCTCTGCCTTGCATCAGAATGTGTTCTGGGAAGCTTCCTTATTAAGTGGATCATTTTTAGTCAGCATCTTTTTCCACCCAATAGGCGTAAAATATAACTAGGGTCACAGTATAATTTATTGTTCAAACCCTGACACTGCAGAATGACTAGGAGAGTTATTAATACTTAGGCATGTATAATAGGCACAACTAGAACTGTCCTAGGTAAACTAGAATATAGATTCACCCTAAAACCAGAGAATCCATTCATAGCCTTAATCAGAATGATTAAGAGCCCTGGCTGGGTAGCTCAGTGGATTAGAGTGTCATCCCTATATGCCAAGGTCATGGGTTTGATACCGGTCAGGGCACATAGAAGAATCAACCAATGAATGCATAAATAAGTAGAACAAGTCAAAATTTCTCCCTCCCTCCCTCCCTCCCTCCCTCTCCCTCCCTCCCTCCCTCCCTCCCTCCCTCCCTCCCTCCCTCCCTCCCTCCTTTCCTCTAAAATCCATTTTAAAAAAAGAAAGAAAAGAAAGAATGATGGGTGGAAGGGCCCAGCTACTCTAAACCTGTAATTTAAGTAAAATATTTGGTTGTACTCTAAGTCCCATAAAATGGACAAAATGATTTATATACAGTTAATTACAAATAGGACCTGATATAGTATTTGTTTGGCATATAACAATAGAATTTACTGTGTCATAAATTTGTCTTATATAAAACTAACATAATGCTTGCTATCATAAAGATTAATCAAGTTCCTAATTAAAAATAGTTTACTTGTCTTCCTTGATTTTAGTGGATTTTTTAATGCAACGACTTAAAGATTTCTAGTATCTTTGAAAGGGAAGTTATCTAGAGAAGTTTGAACAGATGTCCTTTTTTTCTCTTTCTTCATGAATTTCTCAGAGACAGCAAAGAATGTTCAGTTTTTTCCATTTTCATCCATCTGTCTGTTCATTCATATAGCCATCCATCAGGACAGCAGTTCTTTACTGAGTAGCTACAGTGTGCGGAGCGCTCTAGAGTGGGAGTAGAATTAACAATGGGTTATGGTTCCTGTCCTTGGTATCTGTTTGTCTTTCTGTTTCAGCTCTGTCTTTGTTGTTCACCTCCCTCTGTTTCTCTTTTCCCTTTCTCTTTGAAGCAAACTCTTATGGGATTAGATCTCTCAGTTTCTGTATTTGGCAAAGGATTTGACTATTCAGTCAGATGTTATAAACGTCTTAATACAGCAAGACAAATATTCATCTGTGACCCATTTTCTAAAAAAAAAAAAAAATACACTTCAGGAAAATAAATTCCAAGTTAACAATAGAGAAAGAGAGTGTAGCTAAATGCAAGTTTCTAGTAACCAGTAGTAATTCTAGTGAAATGTCTCTTTCGTTATAAGCTTTTGCATTTAATTCTGCTAATATCATTTTACTCCTCTTCAAGAGGAGCACAGATGACTATAACAACGTGGATTTGGTAGCCAAGCATTCAGGGAGTGGAAAGTAATTAAGTGGGGCTGGAAAATGTGAATGATGGGGAGTGGTGGTGATGGGAAGTCAGTGGTTAATGGCAAGAGATCTGGCTCAGGAAGTAAGCAGAGGTCTTACAAGCTATTTTAAGAATCTTGAACTTAATCCTGAAGACCTAAGGGTTGTTTTTTGTTTGTTTGTTTTTTTAACAAGGGAGAGAGGTGATCCAGTTTACCTCTTGGAAAGGTAGTTTGGAAGGGAGATTAGTTTGAATGATGACAGAACATGAAGGTTTTAGAAATCCAGTGGGTAGTGACTTGGAGTAGGAGATGGAGAGAAGTATATGGAGTCCCAAAACAGGTTTAGAGATAGAATGTGGGTGCCAGGGCTTACACGTTGTTCCTAGGTTTCTCTTACTTGGGTGTCTGGAGAACTGTGGTGCCATTTAGTGGCAGTGGAAAAGCACAGGCTGTTAAGCAGGTTTTCACTTAAGCCTGTGGGCACAAAGTTGATATCAGTCTTCTAGAAATAATAAGAGTAGCAGCTAACATTTGGTTATCCTCACTAAGGGCTTTGGTTGTGAGCATTTGGAAAAGAGAAATTTATCACAACTGATTTTTAGAATTCATTCTTTGCTCTTTTTTTTTTTCCTGCCCCTTCCCAGTGACACGTTGCAAAGAAAGATAAATCACAAAGGACAGCCTGGGTGTGTGTGTGTGTGTGTGTGTGTGTATCTGATAGAGAAAGAGACAGGGAGAGAGAAAGATGGTGGCTGGGGCTTGTGTTGATGATTCATTGTATTGGTTCATAAACCTCTGGCCTCTCTCAACCCACTGGCAGAAAGCCTGAACGGAGGGCGGGTAGGTGGAGGGTGGGAAGCTAGCCAGAGTCGCCTAGCACCCTCATTAAGAGAGATCTAGGGTCAGGGGCCCTAGAATCCAGGTATGGCTCTGCTATTTAGCTCTTGTGAGATCTTGGACAAGTTACTTCATCTCTTTGTGTCTGTTAGTTTCTTCATCTGCAAAACGAAGGTGATAATAGTCCTGACTTCATTTTAAAGTCTTACATAAGTTATTGTATGTAAAATACTTGGAATGAGTTACTATATTTACAGTGTTTAGAACAGTGGGTGGCATTCTTATGATAACAGGTTTTCTTTAGGCAAATGGAATGAGCAAAGCTGGAGATAATGGGCAGGATCTTAATAAGTGGGAGGATTGATAGAACGACACTATCATGACCTTTTGTCCTTCATCGATGATTGTACACCCTGTAGATAACACGTCATCAGGGCTGGGTCCTTGTGATTTGTTCCTCCCATTATGAGCATGTTGTCAGCAGTGGCAATGGCAGTAATGACAATGTAACAGTAGCTTACATAGAACCTCCACATCAGCCATGTGAGGTGTAGCTACTTCCCTGTCTGAGTTTTACAGGTGAAGAGATGGCTGTTAGAGAGGTCAGGCAGCCGACCACGGCCACCGTCTGTGGAGTACTGGGGCTGGGATGCAGTCCAGCCAGGCTAAGTGGAGAGCCTTCCCCTTTTAGTCACTACCCTGCATTGCCCCTGCAGAGGGTACTTAAAGTCTGTTCACACAGCAGCCCCCTTTGTACAAAAAACCAGGAAGCGTTTTATTTTCATTAGTCAGGCTCTGAAGCTTCGGGTCTGGGTAGTGTAAGATATCATTAATCTCGTTTTCCATTTCTCTTTTAGATACCAGTTTTTCTTGCAAGTGAAGCAAGATGTCCTTCAGGGCCGGCTGCCCTGCCCTGCCAGCACTGCTGCTCAGCTGGGAGCATATGCCGTCCAGTGTAGGTTCCACCGACGTACATTTGCTGCAGAGATTTTGAGAACAATGTTTGAATTTTTCTTTTTAAGGGAGTTTATATGCTAAAATGTTTCTTATCAAGATGTTTTACTGAAAAAAAAAACCTGAATTTAGTCAGAATCAGGTTTTAATCAGGTCCCTTCGCAAGAGGTCAACATGAAGCCAGTTATACATTCCTTGTGGTGGGTCCCATGCAGGTTTCGTCACGGGCGTAGCATTGATTCCTGATTAAGTGGAGGGCCTGGAAATCTGTTCTCTCGTTCCACCTGAGCTCATTGTTCCCCGAAGCTGTTGTGTCTCAGAGACCACGCTGCTTCCAGGCAGCTGTTGTGAAGACCCTATGCGTCAGGTGCCAACGCCAGTGCAGAGTGTGGCACACGCTTGGCACTCACTGCACTTCAGCTCTTGGCATCGATATTTGCTCCCCTGGGGGCATTTCCAGGTCGCATTGTCATTTTTGAGACGGAGGCTGAGGATGGGGGCAACGAAACAGCATGTTCCCTGCCTTTGAATGGCCTTTGCAGATTAGACACAGCCTAGAAAAAATATCCTAGGAATAATGTTGCATAGATGAACTTGGTTGGGTTTGTAAGGTGAATTAATGTAAGGAAGAGAATTTTTTATAAGCCTAATATACTGAGCTTTCTGGTTTCATTTTGCTTCTTTGTATAAACTGTAATGGGGTTATGTGCAGCATTGTATTATATTTTCATGACCATTATGTGTGGCAAATACATTTTGAATCACACGCTCTATTTCTTGGTGTCATTGTCTGAGAGGATATATTGGGGTCATGGCTGTTATTCAATTCTAATATTTCCAATGTCTGTACTCTAAATTGTTTATAACTTTTTTTCATTTAAATGATAAGAATAATTGGAATGAAAATAATTATGGTCTTTCAGAAAGCAAAAACACAGAACTTATGTTTTTAAGATAAGGTGTTTTTTTTTTATACCATTCATATATATTTGCATCAGAGTTATTTTTTACTAAAACTATTTACATATATGTGAATTTATTAATAAGGCATTTGAAGGACATGTTTAAGCATGTTAGGAATGTTTATATTCCTGTATATTGGAGGAGAATATTTTCCTAAAATGAAAAAAATTATAATTTTTTTCCTTTTTTAGCTGAACTTGGAGATTATGACCCATATAAGCATACTGCAGGATATGTGTCAGAATACCGGTTTGTTCCTGATCAGAAGGAAGAACTTGAAGAAGCCATAGAAAGAATTCATAAAACTCTAATGTAAGAATCATGTTATTAACTATAATTAACAGGCTGTACATTAGATCCCCAGACATCATCTTTGACCAGCGTCTCCCCCATGTCCCTGAACCTGATTACCAGCCCCTGGGAGCCACTATTCCAGTCTCTGTTTCTGTTAGATTGGCTTTTTTGGATTTTGCATACAAGAGATACTGTGTCTGTTTTTCTCTGACTTATTTTACTTAGCATAATGCCCTCAGGGTCTATTCATATACTTGAAAGTAGCAAAGAGAGTAGATCTTAAATGTAGGTCTCACCACAAAAAAGAAATGGTGACAAGATGGAGATGTTAGCTAAGTACGGTGACCATCATTTTGAAATATAAAACTGTACCAAATAACTCGGCCAGCGTTGCTCAGTGGTTGAGCATCAACCTACGAACCAGGAGGTCACTGTTCGATTCCTGGTCAGGGCACATGCCCAAGTTGAGGGCTTGATCCCCAGTGGGGCATGCAGGAGACAGTTATCAATGATTCTCTCTCATCATTGATGTTTCTATTTTTCTCTCTCTCCCTTCCTGTCTGAAATGAAAAAATATATATATTTTTTAAATGTATCAAACACACACTACACCTAAAACATACACAATATCAGTTAATTATATCTCAATAAAGCTGGAAAAATAACATTTTATATTACATCAACCACCGTCCTTTGCTATTGGCAGGCTCAATGAGTTTCTAGAATGATAAATTCTTCACCTTTGCCTGGAACATTCTAGTATTCTTTTTCTTTTTCAAGTTTTAACTGCTTATAACACCAAGAAGCTCATAGAAAATCCAAACTATTTATAACGTTTAAAGGACAGTCAAGATATTTTTCGTTAATGGTCTTTCAGACCTCTCTCTATGAATAATTTCCCATAGAGAAAATGTATTCTGTATAGATTTGTGTATGATTTTACATAAATGGAGTCATGCTGTATATACTGTATTTTTGCAGTCTTCTACTTTTTCAGTCACTAGGACCTTGTGAAATTATTTTTAAGCTATAAATATAATTTATAATCACAAAAGCTTTAATGTATTCTGGATCTGCTAAGTCATAAGTATGTAAATTCTTCACAGTTATAAGCCAGTCCTATTCAGTCTATAGCAATGAATCTGAAAATAATGATGACACCAGTGTGGAGCCTCGGAGAGGATTATGTTAACACTACATGCACCTCTGAGAATATACCCAAGCCCCTAGTAGGATTTTCAAGTAATGGCCTGTAGCATTGAAGTCATAATTTAATTATAGTTATTTTGGTTAAATCCTCTATACTGATTAACTTTGCTTTATCGCCTCTTATGTAACATTCCCTCTTGAATTTGCTTGTTTTTAGATGTATTATAGTGAAGGGGGAAAATGCAGAATTAATCTGGTCAACAAAAAATGTTTGCCTACAGGATCTGTTTCAGTGAGTAGCAGAGAAGTCAATTGCTGAATTGCAATCAGGGAAACCAGGCTCTCCATCTCGTATTAGCATGCACCAGAATGCTCTCCAGCTGATTATAGAGTCCTTCACTTTACGGTTTTGCTGAAGTGGGTGCTAAGACAGTGCCTGTAACAACATTGTGAAGGGCAGTGTGTTTGGCATATTCTGAGAATACTAATTCTACTAGGAGTTTCAAAGTACAGTTATATTTTGAAATTATCCAGGAGCTTTGAGTGAAGGGCCTTACATATTGTATGCAATGATGTTGACAGTGTGACTGTTATTTCTAAGAGAATAAAACTTGATCAAAGTTTGGTAGCTTTGTTGTATCTAATTTTCAATGAGTGGTCGCAGTCTTCATAGATTTGAAAAGTATGGTTTATGACTGGGTTTTCCAGGGTACCATAGCTGCATCGAAAGAATTTCTTAATTTTAAAAAATTTACAGCTCCTTTTAAAAAAATCTCTCTTTCTCTCTTACACACACACACACACACACACACACACACACACACACACCATTTCCATTCATCCATGGAGATTCTTGGCCAATTCTCACCCTCATTAGGAATGAATGCTATTTTCTGTATATTATCACCAATAAAGATTTGTGGAATATGCCTATCCTTTGTATTAAGACAATGACTAGTATTTTTTACAATTTCTAAATACCAGACTGCTGTGCTCAGGAGGTGCCACTGAGACCCCAGTTGGGTGGTGGGGAGCCCATTCTCTTCTTGCTACCCACCACTGCTCTCACCCCTCTTGCTCCTGGTGAAGAGCTGCTGGTGATGGAGGCTTTGCACTCTTTGTCAGGGCATACTTTTTTAATTTGAGTGCTTATATTCTTACTAATCTCTCTCGGGGTTTCTGAAACAGAGAATTTTTCATATATGCTAGGACATTGGGACTGGCTATAATGAGCAAAAATAGACTTGATAAATAAAATGAACTTGATACAAGTGTCACCTTGTTTCAAGGGTGTACAATTTCGTCATCAAGAAGGCAAGGGGCTTCTTGAAGTACAAAGACTTGGGTTTGCACTAGCACAAAGGGTTACTTATTTTTCCAGAGAACATGGCGAGGATGGTTTCATTCCCTATGTCGTGGCTGTCATAGAGTAAGCTCTTTGTTTTTGTGCTGGGTTCAGGGGTCAGGCTCCTTCTGAAGCAGAGCTGAATTATTTGAGGACTGCAAAATCCCTGGAGATGTATGGCGTTGACCTCCATCCCGTCTATGTGAGTAACATTTAATTAACACAAAATATTTTAATCTGATGACATTTTTCTTAAAGTGCCACTGAAACTCCCAAAGGAAAGCTGCAGTCCTGTTGTGTAGAAAGCAGATGATGCTTTTTCATCTGTGTTTTGCAAACACAGAGAATCTCTTGTGTGGATTAAATCCTAATGAGTTTTGCATAGAAGTCTGTGATTATATTTCCATGTGTAGAAAACAATTAACTGGGCTTGAAAACACAATCTGGAAAACAGTTCCAAGGGGCTTAGCTAAACGTCAAAACAATTTAAAATTGGTCTGTAATTGATTGTATTAGGCAGAAAACAGGAGGGTTTTCCAAAAATAGGTTTTACGGCTGAAAAACATTAATAAAATTACTTAAAGTAGGCGTTAGACAACAGTACAGCTACAACTATTTGTGGTTCTTTATGCATCTGTAGGTTCTGTCAATATTATAGTTACTGCCTATTGTAGTTTTTAAAAAATATATTTTTAATGATTTCAGAGAGGAAGGAAGAGGGAGAGATAGAAACATCAATGATGATAGAGAATCATTGCTTGGTTGCCTCTTGCATGTCCCCCATTGGGTATCAAGCTCACAACCTGGGCATGTGCCCTGACCAGGAATCAGTGACCTGGTTCATAGGTTGACGCTCTACCACTGAGCCACACTGATCGGGCATCTATTGTAGTTTTTGCCACTGCATTATTAGAAATATATTTGCAGATTTTCTTTAGTAACTGATGAAAACTTGCTGAATATAGTCACTGAGCAATTACACGGAATCTGTGTTGAATGTTCTGGATCTGGTCTTAACCTTTGAACCACTTCTCTAAAGTTATCAATTGGTTATTCTATGCCAGTGAGATTGAAATGTGATTGTCTTTCATTTTATGAGTTTTATTAGCAATAGTCAAATTTGGTTATTTGAGGAAATGAGCCATGTACCTTTACCGGAAATGAATTGCTAAAGATTATAAAAGGCAGAGTGTTTGTCAGTTGGATTAGGGAACTCAATTTTTAAGGAACCCTGATAAAATTTACTGTAATGTAAATAACTCAGTCATGCATTTATTTTGTAATACGTTTTTTGCTTTTCAGAGTTTGTAAAGAGTTAGCTGTGTCCCTGGGTATATATACCATTACTATGGTAATAAAAGTTACATATTTGGGGGGAAGTAGTAGTTCCCTGATATATTAAATTTCAGTCTCATTCATCATTAAATACTTTATACAATTGTCCTTCATGAATGCTTCTAAAATTTGGTGGGCTCGTTATCTTTTCCCCTTCCAGCTACACTAATCTTGTTAGGTTTTCAGTTTTAAAAAATGTATTTTATAGGAAATGTATAAAAAGAGAGTCTTCTGCAAAATACTTGTGTGTTTGTGTAATGTTTATCCCAAGTCACAATGTGGGCAGTAGGAGTTTATGGTAAGTAAACTGGACTCTTTAGACTCTTCCGTGCATTCCTTTAAGATTGAATTTTTAAAACTGAAAGTGGGCAACAGTTGGTATTCTTTCAAAACTTATTAGTTGACTAATGTCCTTGGGACTATGACTTTGCAATCTGTTATTTGACCTCAGAGTAGAAATAAGATGAACATAAACAGACAGTTCTGTATATGTCCTTGGCACCCACCCTGCAACTTTTTCATTTCAGAATCCCATTTTCTTAATTGAGATTTATCATTGCCTGGAAATTAAGGGTCTCTAGTCTTTATCAGAAGAGACTGTATTTTAAAATTTTGAGCAGTCTTAAAGTCACAGATATTAGTGGGAAGGAGCGTGATAGTGACCTCAGAAAATCCAGCTGTATGCTTGCAGGTGGCTGCCTGAACTTTCTGGAGAGGGTGGTGGTGAACAAGGTCTCATGATTGTTCACATCAGAAAGTAAGATCAGTGAGCCCCGGGTAAGGGACCGTTGGGAGAAGCCAATGGTTCTTAGTCCTTGGCTGCACAGGAGGATCACCTGGAGCATTTTTGTGTTTTTGATACCTGGGCCCCTTCCTTGCAGATTCTGATTTAACTGGTTTTGGTAATACCCAGGCATCAGCATTTCAAGCTGCATGGGTGATTCTAGTTAATGTGCAGCCAGGGTTGAACAATGGGATGAGTCGATCAGAGGCCTGATTAGTAGTCCAGGTTCTTTTAATGAGCTGAGGTTACAAGTATGAATGCACTAGAAAAAATTTCTTTAAAACTTTAAAAACAATGGGCAGCAAGTTAGCTACCATCATAGCTTAGCTATCTTTCTAAGCTGACGACTTTCAAAAACTAGATCCAATATCAATCTGACAAATTATATTTGAATGGCCAGTTACAGTTTGATAGTATGCGTTTAAATGAATACATTTATAGTTATAGGCATATGTTTGTTTTTGCAGGGAGAAAACAAATCTGAGTATTTCTTAGGATTAACTCCAGTTGGTGTTGTTGTCTACAAAAATAAAAAGCAAGTGGGGAAGTATTTCTGGTAAGTATAAACTGTAGCAGAGTTGGTATTCAGGTTATACACTGTATGTTTTGGGTTTATGGGACTTGTGTGTCAGTGAAAGGGTTGGGAAAAGAAAACAGGTACATTTCTAGTAGTTGATAAATATGAGTGAAATTGGCTATCAAGTTTCTCCCAATGCATATCTGTATATATTTTCTCTGTAAATTTCAGAGAAATTTTCTCTGTGATTCTGGACTCTTGTCCGTGGAAGCTGTGTAGTAGGATTCCCCAAGAGTTCCAGTGTGCACTGCTGGGCTGGGTTCCCAGGACCACTATGAGTTCTCACTAAGTGGGAAGGTGTGAGAGGGACCAAGGATTCTCTGGCTCTGCACTGGGTCTGGGAAAGCAACACTGTTGGGGCCGGGGATTCCAAGCTTGCGTGCATTTACTGGAGAAGCACAGAATGAGAATGGAATTTGGTTTAGGGAGGTGTATAGAGCAGAGGGTATACAGGGAACTCTACAGTGATTGCAGTAGTATAGAAGCGAAACAGTATGAACCAATCTTTTTCCACTGAATTTCTGAAAGGTTAATTCTGAAAAATAGCACCACCACCACCACCATCTGCTTTTTTTTTTCAGGCCTCGGATTACAAAGGTTCACTTCAAGGAGACGCAGTTTGAACTCAGAGTACTGGGAAAAGATGTAAGTTTTTGTTTGGCACGTAGCTTAGCTGAGAAGGGGGATCTCGTCTCCTCATTGATAAGTGCAAAGACATGGTGAAGTATGACTGCTGTGTTTTCTTCAGCTGCAACCACATGGAACTTGGTTACTGGACTTAGTGCACAACTGCTCAAGGAGGGGCAGGGTAGAAACGAATGAGTTGGTAACGGAGAAATGTCACTTTAGTTTCAGCAAAGGGAAGTAAACCTTCCTAGAGCAGAAAAGAGAATAGCAGGAGATTGTCTTTATTAGTGTGATTTGCTCTTCGGTACTGTCTGTGAAGAATTCGTATAATCAGAAGGGTGCAGCCTGCATACAGGCTAAAAAGTGTCCTAATTAGGTCCAAAAGTACATTAAACAATCTGTAGGGAGTCACACTTCTGCTGTTTCCTTAGTTGGGTGTGGCAGATAAATCACATGGGAAATTCTGGATGCTTTCAAAGGAGAATGTAAGGCGAGGGTGCAAAAGTGCTGGTCCTCCCCCTACAGCTTGGCTGTGTCCTAAGGATTGTGTGGGTAATGGGCACAGTATCTGTCAGAACCTGGGGGTGCCTTCATGCTTGGATAGGTAGCTTTTAGGAAACTGGGCAAAAGAAGGCAAGGATATTAAAACTTGCTTTTAATCCACCTGTGAAAATAATGCTCTCTGAAGTGCTGTGGGATAAATGAGTGAGAATATGATGTAGCAGAATCCACCCTTCTCTCTCTTCAATACTGACTTTATGCAAAGTTCAAAGTGAATGCCATTGAGTTATTGAGATATTTGTTGTAAAAAAAGGAAGTAATAAAATCTGTGCTTATGCATTCGCAAGTTGAGACACAGGAAAGTGTGACTAGATCTAGAACGTGATACCTCACAGGTAGCAGGTGCTCAGTAAATATCCATTGAATAATCAATGAACTGATCTACTGAGATTAAGTGCCACCAGATTAAAAAACCCGACACTACTAATCAGTTCCTTTTTTAGAAAAAATACAGTAATCCTTCCTTTCACTGTATGTATGACATGCTGCCATTTATTGATGAAATTAAAATTGGATTTTGAAATGAGTTTTAAATTGTAATGAGGGGTAAATTCCAGATTTTTAAAGAAATACTAGTCCAGCCCTAGCCGGTTTCGCTCAGTGGATAGAGCATTGGCCTGTGAACTGAAAGGTCCCAGGTTCGATTCTGATCAAGGCCACATACCTCGGTTGCGGGCTCCAAGCCCTGGTCAGGGCATGTGTGGGAGTCAACCAGTTGATGTGCCTCTTTCACATCGATGTTTCTCTCTCTGTCTCTCCCTCTCCCTTCTATTCTCTCTAAAAATCAATGGGAAAATATCCTTGGGTGAGGAGAAGGAAGGGAGGGAGGGGAAGAGAGGGAGGAGAAAGAATAGTTCAAAAACCTCAGAGTAGTTCTTTTAACAGTCTAGTTTGAAGGAAATCCAGTTTTCAACTCCTGATTAGACGTATCAATCTTAAATGTGCTAATATAAGATTGAATTAAAATCATCCAAAAAGTACAATAAGTAATTAGATAGTAGAGTTATCTACTTTTCCATCTTGCCACTGGTTTCATGTGACAATGCAAGGCATACTGTCTGTTCAATGCATTGAAAATAATGTTTCAAGTTTTTAATAGGAATCCTATCTAATAAAGATGGAATATGCAAATTAACCATCACTCAACGACAGATGGTGGTGCCCACAGCCAATAAGGAGGGAATATGCAAATTGATGCGACAAAGATGGAGGCAGCCGGGTTGGGACGCTTGCATTGTCACATGGTGACAACGCAGGCGTTCCACCCTGCCCCACCTGCTCCAGGCCTCTGGGCAGCATGCGCACAAGCATGGAGCAGCCGGGGCAGGATGGGATGCCTGCTATGAGGGGGGTGGCAGGGGGTGGAGGGAGCTACAGGAGGGCAACAGGGCTGGAGCGAAGGCAGCTCCGGCCAGAGCGAAGGCCCGGGTCCTGGGTGACGGAGGGAAGCGGGTGCTGGCAACCAGGGGAAGGAATCTTCATGCATCGGGCCTCTAGTATGATAATAAAATGATGACTTTACATGGAAGCATTACTATTATTCAAAGTCATTTTTTTCTTTATATCTAAGTTTTTTTTGTGAGTGAGGTCCTTTGGTGAAATACTTTTATGCTATTACTACTGGCCCAGTGCATGGATTTGTGCACATTGAAAGGAAATTAATTAGAAGAAATATTTTAATATCACTATTCTCCCTTTCTCTATAATAGAAGTGTCAGAAATGAAAGAAAAGTAGTAAAATGTATATGAAAATAATATATAA